TACATCCGCCAACCAAAAGAGTCTATAGCTTAGAGCCTGCTTACTCACTGATGTATTCATTCACTTCGTTTTTGATGAGCTGAGTGGTCAGTAAGAGAGAACGATACAAATGCCAGGAAGATGCACGATAATGTAACAGAACATAACAAATATAACAAAGAGTGAAATACACGTTTTATGTGTGTAACCAGGTCCTGCAAAGACACGCTGCAGCTGAGATTTCGAATGTAATTTTCGGTACTTTGAGCTGTGCGGTCTGTTATTTAACAAAGCCGTCATCCGTAAAGCTGGACGCAGGCCGGAGGCACCGAACAAACGGCCTGTCCCCACAGCTCCACGAGTCTTTACGCTGTGACCGTCCAGTGTCCCGCTCAGAGGAAACTTTAAACAGAACTGATCCGAGTTTAGTCTGCAGGCAGCTGTCGCCATGTTTGCTTCAATCACCATCGAAAACACCGACAGACAGGTTGAGTTTGGCCCAGAGCGACGTCTGCTCGACTCTCCCTCATTCAAACGCAGCGTCTCAGTCTAAGCTTCAACTCTTTTACCAGACGCGCTCAGTCCTGAGCCGCTGTTAGAAAATCCAAAGAGGACATCTCATAAAGAGTCACTGAGGAGCTGCCGAGCAGAGATGTAGGACCAATGAAGCTCAGATTTATCACTTGGCAGCGCTCAGCGGCGGCCATGTTTACTCTTCACCTGTTTGGATAAGCGCCGTTAAAGTTGATGACGAGCGGAGATTTATGTGAGGCTCTGTGACCGACGGGCTCTGTCCACGGTGCATTCAGGGATAATCAGGTAAAAGGGAACTGTGTGTGGCTCTGACTCTGCTGGTTTTTCCTCCAGGGTGGACCAGGTCCCGCTGGAGACCCGGGCTTACCTGGACGGATCGGTGGTAACGGACAGAAGGTGTGTGACATCATCATTGTTTAACATCTGATAAACGTCCCCGCTTCACGTCAGATAAGATCACATTTATGAGAATAGCTGACGAATACTCCAAGAGGTCAGATGAAGAGATTACATCCTCCACAGTTTCCACCCAGCAGGGCCTGAAGGCAGGAAGTTGGTCATACACGTACGTCCATACAGGGTACATGGGGGGGCGTGGCCACCACAATGTCATCAGCTTTAATTGTGAAGCCTCCAGGTTAGCCTTCTAACCACAGTTATGGGTAAATGCCAGCTGGCCTGGTTATCAGTCTGCACCCACACATATAGAGCCAGGGGGGGTTAATCCAGTTGGTGTGAAGGGGGAGGTTATCTTCACCATGACAACCTGTTGTTGCTGTTAAAGGGCCAACCAGGCGATCCCGGTGATGAGGGCGCACCAGGACCAGACGGACCCCGAGGAATGCCGGTAAGGAGCCGAGAGCCCGCTCTGTTCAGACAAACAGTTTGATTGGATGTCAGTGGCGCTGACTGTCTGTGTTTCAGGGTCAGGACGGTCGGGATGGTTACGGACCCGTGGGCCCCCGAGGTGCAAAGGTGACCCTTCATAATACACAATCCTGTATTTCATCCTTCTGCTAGATCTCTGCTTCACATTCATAACAACATTCACGTTCTTGCCGTGTCTTGCAGGGCGATCCCGGTTTCCCTGGTTACCCTGGTCTTCGGGTGAGTTCACAGCAGATCAGGTTGAATCCATCCTGGCATTAAATCGCAGTAAACACGCAGACAGGAAATGAAGGCGGCCTGCTGGGAACGGATCAGAAACGAGTTAGGATCCAAACATCGGAGCGTTTTCAGGCTAACAGAAGTCCAACGAGAGTTTTTAAGTCCACCGAGTTCAGGAGCTGACAGAGCTCCACGAAAATGCTGCGAACACGAAATAATCTGCGTGTTTGCTGCGATGCACGTCGAAGCTGAGCAGAAACTCCTGCAGGTGTAAAGCTGATGTGTGATTCTGCTGTTCGCTCTGAGAGTGACGCAGTGAAATCGGCCTCTTGCTCTCTCACATCATTCAAACGGATGCAAACAGCAGGTGCTGCTCGCTCGCACTGCTTCGGGACGACAGCGGGTGTTCGTGGCGCGGACCAATCAGAATGGACCTGTGAGCTCAGCGGGTTCAGAGATTTCACTGCAAACGTATCAAAGCTGCACTGAAACTTCAAATACTCACAGACGGTAACACAGAAACACTGTTTAGGAGCTCTTCAGTGGATCGAGTCATTGCACAGGCTGATGTAAGCCACGCCCACCTGTGCAGGATCCAATTAGGACTGTTTCTCTGTTAGTAGCCAAGAAACTTTAATGTTTGTGGTCAAATAAACATTTATTTCTGCTGTTGGACGTGTTGAGGTGGGAGTGTGTGGGCCGGACCGCCTGCTGGAGCCTCTGCTGGTGCTGCGTGGCTGCAGCCCAGGACCCTTTAAACTCTTACTGCTCCTGTAAAACTAATACAAGCCTGCCTACACTGGTGGCTCATAAACACCTCGCCGTGCTGCCTGCAGCTTTCACACATTCATACACAAAAGGTTGACAGCAGAGCATCACTGAGCTCTCACAGCTTTGTGGTAAAGTCGACTGGATCCTTTTCGAGGATTTATGAGACAGGCCGCCTTAATAAATAAGCACATTTTCAGTTTTACTCGCTGGTGTTTGTCCAGAAGCTTTTGGAGGCCGGAGATAAGAACGCTCTTGTTTATTCTTGGGATGAGTGTGGTCAGGAAGTTGACTTGAGGGCTTGTGTTTGAATTTGGAGATGCGTTACCTCACGAGCCGTGTTTCTTTCTCTGCAGGGCGAGGAGGGGCTGCAGGGACCGAAAGGATATCCAGGGCCCAAAGGGAACCGCGGCCGAGGGGTGAGAGTCCACTGCTCAGATAACTGAATCAAGCTCGGTCTTTGAGTCCGTCAGTGACGTTTGTTTGTGATCCCGTCACGTAGGGTAACGCGGGTTTGCCAGGAGAGTCAGGAGTCCCCGGAGAACCGGGATATCCGGGACACAGGGTGAGTGTGGAAAAGCTTTAGGAAGCTGCCGACTTCATGCTGCACAAACTGAGCGCCTGGAGCCAGAAAGATCACTGGATGTGGATTAATTTATAAGAAAACTTTTTAGTTTTCCTCTAAATCTATTTCGTCCTCTCTTACAACGATAAAGGAAAATGTATTTTTTACCCAAACTTAACTCTAAAGGTTAGTTTAAACAGGTGCAGAGGTATTTCTGTCCTTTACAGAGCTCAGTTTTCTCGCTGTCTTGTTTAAAATCACTGGAAAATCCTTTGTGTGGTTTTTAAAGATCTCTGAGCTTCACGCAGCGTTTGGGGTGGCTGTAGCTCAGGGCACCTACTAACCAAACGTTGGCGGTTCAGTCCTCGTCTGCTCCGCTCTGCAGGCCAAATATCCGTGTGCAAGATCCTAACCCGAAGTGCTTCCATCGGAGCGCGAATGTTTGATAAAAGACTTTACACGAAGGGGTGAATGAGGCAAAAGGTGTCGAGATCTTCGTTTGTTTGATCAAATGTGAGGAACATTCTTCTGTCATGTTAGTCAGATATCACACTGTTCACAGGGCCCCCGAGGTTCTCCTGGAGGCAAAGCCATGACTGTAAGTCCACCTTAAACCCACCTCACCCACATTAAGGAAACATTAGTACAGGATGTAATCACAGGTCTTTCCTTTTGACTCAGGACTGTCAGCTGATCACCTACATCAGGGACAACTGTGGTAAGACTTCCTGACATCCTCACATCATCTCAGGAAATGAAACCTGCACGTCTCTAAATGCTGTTTGTTTTCCCTCCAGCTTGCTCTGCTGGTACGTGTCTCCACTCTAACAGTCAGGTATCGTGGTGAGTACAGCTCAGCAGCCACGTCCACAGACTGGATCAAAGATGGACACAGCTGCACTCTCTGAAGCTTCAGCATTTGATTCAGCACAGTGTTGTTGTTGTGATTCTTCTCCTCAGGATTTTTCCTCATTTATTGCTGTCGTTAGTGTCAGGATGGTGAAAAAGGTTTTCTTAACCTCCTCGGACCTGCGTCCACATATGTGGACATCGCATTTTGGGATGTCTAGACGAAAATAATTAATTTTACTCTACAAGGGCCTGATATCCAGTTACGAGGACGTTATACTGCCACTGTTCTATCAAAATTTAAAACTAACTTCCTCACATGTGGCTCTTATTTGTCTCAGAAACAAAAAAATGGAGGGAAAAATCCACTTTCTGACACCAGAAATGATGACGTCAGCGTATCGAGTATAAAAACATCTGTTAATGTCACAGCGACTCATGCGGCTACCACGGAAACTTGAGCAGGAGGAGTCCCAGGAGTTTTGCCTGGAATCGCGTTTGTGGTCTTGACCAATGATGTCTCATGTTGCTGAGACGCTCCTGCTCTGTACAGACATCCACTCACTGTTTTTCTGGCCTACCCATCTGTACACCCAGAAATGCTTACAGGTTACATGACAGGTGAGGTCCCGTTGGGTACGTTCTGCCTCTGCACACATAAAGACCACAAAACAAATGTCCAGACCATCCATCCATCCATCTTCATCCGCTTTATCCGAGGCCGGGTCGCGGGGGCAGCAGCCTGAGCAAAGAGGCCCAGACCTCCCTCTCCCCAGCCACCTCCTCCAGCTTATCCGGGGGAACACCAAGGCGTTCCCAGGCCAGCCGAGAGATATAATCTCTCCAGCGTGTCCTGGGTCTGCCCGGGGCCTCCTCCCGGTGGGACATGCCTGGAACACCTCACCCAGGAGGCGCCCAGGGGGCATCCTTGTCAGATGCCCGAACCACCTCAGCTGGCTCCTTTCGATGTGGAGCAGCAGCTGCTCTACTCTGAGCCCCTCCCGGATGGCCGAACTTCTCACCCTATCTCTAAGGGAGAGACCAGCCACCCTTCGGAGGAAGCTCATTTCTGCCGCTTGTATCCGCGATCTCGTTCTTTCGGTCACTACCCACAGCTCGTGGCCATAGGTGAGGGTAGGGACGTAGATCGACCGGTAAATTGAGAGCTTCGCTTTTACACTCAGCTCCCTCTTCACCACGACGGACCGGTGCAGCGTCCGCATCACTGCAGCTGCAGCGCCAATCCGTCTGTCGATCTCCGGCTCCCTTCTCCCATCACTTGCGAACAAGACCCCGAGATACTTGAACTCCTCCACTTGTGGCAGGAACTCATCCCCAACCCGGAGTGGGCACTCCACCCTTTTCTGGCTGAGAACCATGGCCTCAGATTTGGAGGTGCTGATCCTCATTCCCGCTGCTTCACACTCGGCTGCAAACCGTTCCAGTGCGAGCTGGAGGCCATCACCCGATGAAGCCAACAGAACCACATCATCCGCAGAAATCAGAGATGAGAGTCTGAGGCCACCAAAGCAAAAGCCCTCCGCCACTTGGCTGCGCCTAGAAATCCTGTCCATAAAAATTATGAACAGAACCGGAGACAAAGGGCAGCCCTGGCGACGCCCATCACCCACCGGGAACGAGTCCGACTTATTGCCGGCAATGTGAACCAAGCTCTTGCAACGGTTGTATAGGGATCGAATGGCCCGTAGCAATGGGCCAGACACCCCATACTCCCGCAACACCTCCCACAGGACACCCCGAGAGACACGGTCGAATGCCTTCTCCAAGTCCACAAAACACATGTAGACTGGTTGGGCAAACTCCCATGTACCCTCAAGTATCCTGGAGAGGATAAAGAGCTGGTCCAGTGTTCCGAGACCAGGACGAAAACCGCGTTGTTCCTCCTGTATCCGAGGTCCGACTAGCGGATGAACTCTCCTTTCCAGCACCCTGGCATAGACTTTCCCAGGGAGGCTGAGGAGTGTGATCCCCCTGTAGTTGGAACACACCCTCCGGTCCCTCTTCTTAAAGATGGGGACCACCACCCCAGACCATGTGAAAAACACGTCCAAAGTATGTCCTTTAACATGCGTTGGGTCATTAACCCACTGAGCCAGGTTAAAAGAGTCCGTTAAAGCAAGGAAGTCTTTAGCAAATGAGTCATCCTTACAGCAAGCGTGTATGTTAAAATCTCCCACAATGAGAACACAATCTGGTAATTCTTTGTTTTTACATTCATCAGGTCCCAATCAGCCCAAATATCAAAGAGAAATTTAAAATGCTGCCATGTGGGACAGCTGTGAATATTTCCATCCCTGATAAGCTCAGCACCCCACAGGTCTCTGTACTGGAAACACACGTCTCTCTCTCTGCACCACTACAGTGGTCTTTGAGCATCTTTGACTCATTCGCAGATGTATTTTTTTTAATTATACAAACTTTGCACAAAGAGCGATGCAGGTCCAATCACACGTGGCGTGCTTGGTGTCAGGCTGCAGCTTGTGTTGGGTTTTTTGCACTACTTAGAAACCTGCTGGGCAGCTGTACTGGTGCCCAGTATCCACCACAGCCACCTCTTAGCTCAGTTTCTGCTCAACCCAAAAATCTTTCTCCTTTCAAACGTAGGGAAGAAAGCAGCAGTTTAACAGCAAAGAAACAATCAGCCAAACGTAGATTTCCTGTGTGACCTCGACCTGAAACACTGTCAATGGAAAATTGTATTTAGTAGACAGTATAATCTTTTAGTGATATAAGTTTGCATATGGTAGAATACTGCGTGTAGTTATTTGTATTAGGAAATATGCAACCATGTATACTTAGAGGCATATAATTAATTGTGTAGTGACAGGATGTGTGATCTCTAGCAGGCTGCAGGCTTGGTGTGCACTCCAGGAATGCACCCCCACGTCCTGGGAGCATGAGAGGTTGCACCTTGTTTTATTGCTTTAACATAGCTATGTCTGTTTTAGTCTAAGTGCCTTTTTGTTTAGGTGAACTGCTGGACTTCCTCGCCGTGTTATCTAGGGTGAACCATCTAGGGTGGGGGAGACTACCCTCTTTGTGACCAAGGATGTACCTTTTGTGCTTTCATGTTATATGACCCTTTGATCAGCAGGACACACACACACACACACACACACACACACACACACACACACACACACACACACACACACACACACACACACACACACAGAAGTATAAATAAAGACCGGGGCAGTTTCTTAGCGCGAGTCTCTGGAGGCTGCCCTTGCTAGCAAGAAGTTCTGTGTGTTTCTCTTCTCTGAGTCTTTACTGAAGAAGTGTTTTAGAATGTTTTCCCTAACAAACACTTTCATTAGAAAGTATATTTAAGTATAATTAAGTAATTAAGTATATTTAACCTCCTAAGACTCTTTCATAGCATGCATTTTTAATTCTCTTTGCTATTGTGACTTTATGGTGTTTGATAGGAAACTATAAAGTCACAGTTGAGCAATGATGTGCACAGGAGCAAAATGAGAAACAACAATATGGCTCCTGTGAAAGCAAAGCTTAGTATTTTTGTCTAAACAACCCAAAATGTGACGTCCCCATATGTGGACGCCAGGTCCTAGCAGGTTAATGAACTAGTTTTATTTTTATGGCTTCACTGCAGAAACAGGAGCACCAGGTTGTATCTAAGAATTACACAGATGTTTGGTCTCCGATGGTATGAGAGCAGCTTTGCATGAGCAAACAGAGCTGAGGTTCATCAGTGTGGACGTTAGCATGAGAGGCGTTCACAGCCTCCCTTTGATAGATGCTGCTGGGACTGCTCACCTTTACCCCGACTCACACTTCTGTGATTAAAACGTTTAGCTCTACAGTTGTAAAATATCCTTTATGTAAACAGATTCGTATAATCCGATATAAACGTGACACCAGCCTGGTGACTGATGAACGGGTGGCTGCTGAAAGTTTAACACAAGCTCCTCTTTGCCCGTCAGATCAGTCGGCGTGCCCGGCCTACCCCACCGAGCTGGTGTTCGGTCTCGACATGTCTGATGACGTGACCCCGGGGGACTTTGGTAGGCAGCGCTCCGCCCTCCTCTCCCTGCTGAATGACATCAGTATCGCAGAGAGTAACTGCCCGCACGGCGCGCGTGTCGCTGTGGTGGGATACAACACCTACACCAAGTACCTGATCCGCTTCCAGGACTACCGGCGCAAGGCACAGCTGCTAGAGGCCGTGAGGAACATCGCCCAGGAGAGGACGTCCAACAAACGGCAGCTGGGCGCCGCCATGCGCTTCGTGGGTCAGAACATCTTCAAACGAGTCCGAGCAGGAATAATGATGAGGAAGGTGGTCGTCTTCTTTTCTAGCGGGCCTACAGAGGGCGCTAACGACATTGTAACGGCCATGATGGAGTACCGGGCCCTCAACATTGTTCCAGCGGTCATCTCTCTGAGGAACACTCCCGATATTGAACAAGCCATGCAGGTAGGTGTCATTTACCTGCAGCTACCTGCAGATGTTTTTCATCCAGATGTTGACTGAGTCAGTCTCTTCAGACTGTTTTGCCTTCGGTCTGAAGCGGGGTGCGGGTTGCACATTAGCACAGGACTAAAGGAATCGCAGCAGTTTTCCCAATCCCTGCTGAAGCTGGAAAACTGATTACGAAATCCAGCAGGAAAGTGGAGCGGTGTCAGCAGCAGGCATGAAGAGGGAGCTGAGCCAGAAGACCTGGAAAGAACCACATCACGAGGAAGATGAAGATGTGTTTCCTCTTTAGGAGACATCTGACGATAGTGCTTGAAGTGCTGCTCCTTTACTTCAAACAAACTTCTTAAATAAAGCCTCATTTATACTAACTCTGCCACCATTTAGATTTCCTGAAGGCTCTGAACTCTTGGAGGGAAAATCCACTTTCTGTATGAGACACCAGAAATGATGACGTCAGCGTATCGAGTATAAAAACATCTGTTAATGTCACAGCGACTCATGCGGCTACCACGGAAACTTGAAGAGTTTCTGTGGAGCAGGAGTCCCAGGAGTTTTGCCTGGAATCGCGTTTGTGGCCTTGACCAATGATGTCTCATGTTGCTGAGACGCTCCTGCTCTGTACAGACATCCACTCACTGTTTTTCTGGCCTACCCATCTGTACACCCAGAAATGCTTACAGGCTACATGACAGGTGAGGTCCCGTTGGGTACGTTCTGCCTCTGCACACATAAAGACCACAAAACAAATGTCCAGACCATATGAAAAACACGTCCAAAGTATGTCCTTTAACATGCGTTGGGTCATTAACCCACTGAGCCAGGTTAAAAGAGTCCGTTAAAGCAAGGAAGTCTTTAGCAAATGAGTCATCCTTACAGCAAGTGTGTATGTTAAAATCTCCCACAATGAGAACACAACCATACTTAAAAAGAACGGAGCCTAGGAGATCAGCAAAGTCCGTGATAAAACATTTGCTATATTTAGGCGGTCGGTAAACCACCACGCAGAGTGTGGTCGTGGATGCAGTCATCCCCAATAACTGGACTTCAAAACTAGTGTAGGTAGGTGAGGGTAGCTGCCGAACTGCATATGAATTTTAAAAACCGTGGTTATGCCGCCACCCCTACCAGACCGGTGCAGGGGAAGAGGAGAAGGTGCCTAAGTTAACCTCCTGGAAGGAGGGAAAGAAGATCAAATGTCCAGGCTGGCATGTGGGTAGCCGGTGCTCTGGCTTTAAAGTAGACCCTGAGGCGAACGCGACGGCCGCTCCTTCTACCGCATTTCCTGTAGCGTTTCTTGGTTAGGAAGAGGTAGGTGGAAGAAGCCGGTCGGAGGGTCCAGTTGGGGCGCGGTGGCGTCACCCAGATTCCAGCAAGGATCAGCCCGAGAGGAATGGGAGAGTCTTAAATTTAAAAGTGTTTGCCTGTAATCAGTGCTCAGCCATTAGATGAGCATACAACTAAAAGGATCAAAAATACAATGCCAAGGTCCGTAAAAGAGCGTAAAAAGCAGCGTAAAAAGCAGCGAAACAGATACAGCCGAGGACGGCAAGCCATGTGCACCGGCGCCATCTTGGCTGTAGTTTGCACCTTTATGAATCAGTACAATTAGTTCCTAGTTAGAAGCTGTCTGACAAAGTAAAGCAGGCTAAAAGATCACATCACACCAAGACCTACAGAAGCAGCTGAAAACAAAGCCAGTAAGGTCACAGAGACATTTCTAAGGCTGTGAGACTCCACAGCGAGAGCCATAATCCACACATGGAGAAAACCTGGAACATGCTGAACCTTCTCAGGAGCAACTGGACAAGCGAAAGACTCCAAGAGTGCATCAACGATTCAACCAGGAGGTCACAGAAGAACCCAGAACAACATGGCCTCCGTGGGAGCGATCCCAGGAGAAAACTCCCGCAGACCAAAGACATTAGGACGGGGATAAAGAGTTTTCCAAGACGCTGTACTACATATGTTGAGCAGAAGTGATGGACCGGGACCGGTGCTGACTTTGCAACTTTCCTCTCTCCAGGAGAAAGTAAAGCATGAGCCACTGATGGTGCACCTCCAGGGCCGCTCTGCTCTCCTTTCACTAAGATCAAACTAACACATTTCACACGTGGAAACATCAGGACAACATCCGGCTCTGCAGAACAAACAGCCGATGCTTCACTGCGAGCGTCTCTGCAAACAAAGGAAGCTCAGATTCAATCACTTAAGATCGTTTGAGTCTGAACAACGATGTCTAATGAGTAGATTTCATTGTAACCTTGTACTCAGCGCTTTGTTCAATGTTTCCCATCAGGTTGATGACTCGAGAAACTTTGTATTCACGGTGCTGGGAGAACGGGCCACTGGGCTCAGGAAGGTCAGGAACTGCGCCATCTGCTACGGTGAGCATCGTTTTCTGCTCTGATCTCTCTTCTGACTTTTTGTGGTTGACAGCGTAGGCGAGCAGAACGCTGTCAAACTAATACTGACTCCTTGTACATGAAAAATGAGCCCACTGCAGTCTTTTTGCCAAAGAACGTGTTTTCAGTACTCGGGGTTGAGAGTCAGTGATAATAAATGCATAATGAATGATCTGATGGATCTGTGTGCACAGCAGGGATGGGTATCGTTTAGGTTTTATCTGATACCGGTGCCAAATCAGTACTTTTGAAACGGTGCCGGTGCTCAAACGGTGCTCAAACCGGTGCTTAAAGAATGGAGAACACAAAATTGGTCCAAAAACCTCTCATGTTCAGCTGGTTTTTGTAAAAAGATAACAATGTTAGCCTTTTCTGCAGCTATGGGGCATATATGGTATCACTCTTGGCTGGAAGCAGTGCTTAAACAATGGAAAAAACAAACTTTGTCCTAAACCTCTCATGTTTAGCTGTTTTCCACTTTTTCTTTGGTAATTTTAGCCTTTTTGTCCAGGGTGAAGGGAGTATCTGCCATCAAACAAGAAGACAGCCGCATGTAGCTATGATGATGTTTGCTAGTTCACCTTACATGCATTAATGTAATAACGTGGTTAGCCTACTCAACGTAAATTACACACAAACAACATTAAGCTACTCACGCAGAGAAGAATGGCTGCTGCTGCCATCAAATACGGTGCATTTCTCGGCTTTTAAAAAAAATGCTATGCGTCGCCAGGTGTTTCATCAGATTCTTGGTGTTGCCTCCTTTGACAGTATCACAGTATCAGCTTAAAGCACTTGCTGCTGCTGAGTTTGCATATTTTGCTGTGAAGTACAGCCAGACTTTTGGACCGCTTCGCCTTGGGCATTTTTAATCTGTAGCTCTGCTCTAAAAGAACGTACGTACCTGGGCCCGCCTACTATCCTCAGAAACGTAAAATGATTGGCTAGAAGTGTATCACAGCTCAGGAAAAAAAAGCACCGAAATGTGCGCTGCTTTTCGGTCTGGTTACTACCGTTTATGATGGCACTGGACACCGGTACCCATCCCTAGTGCACAGTGCCAGTGTGTGCTGTGTTTCCTGTTGACCTTTGAACCCATGGGTAACAGCACGCTGGCTGATATCAGAGCACACTGTTAGACCTTCCATGAGGTTCAATAATTAGAATATGCTGGCGTCTTTTCTAAATGCTTCTGTGCCACAGCATCCTGGTTCCTGTCGAGTAGTCCGAGATCTGATGTGCACAAACATGACGGGTCACTTGTAGCTTTTGTAGCTTCCTGTCATCAGCATCACGCTTTCTGATGTCTCTGCAGACCCCTGCAGGCGTGCAGAGGAGTGCACCTTCATCCAGGAACCAGTGCTGCCTCAGCAGGCGGATGTGGACCTGGTCATGGTGCTGGACAGCTCCAGGGAGATCCAGGCTGATGAATACGCCGGTGCCCGGCAGCTGCTGAGCTCTGTGGTGGAGCAGCTGGCCGTGAGTCCACAGCCCCGCCGAGCCGGCCGCCAGGCCCGAGTAGCTCTGGTCCAACAGAGCACCAAGGTGGAGTTCGGCCTGCAGACCTACCAGAATGCTGGAGACATGAAGACGTACATGATGCAGAACATGCAGCAGCAGGGCGGCTCTTTGGCGCTGGGACAGATGCTGGACTACACCCTGAGGGAGGTGCTGCTGAAGGCCGGCCAGTCGCGCAGCAAGAGGGCCGTCCTGACTGTGGTGGGCACCAAGACGGCCTACAGAGACCAGGCCAAGCTGCGCTACATCTCCCAGAAGGCCAAGTGTGAGGGGGTGGCGCTGTTTGTGGTGACGGTGGGTGATCGTTACAACCGGACGGAGGTGGAGGAGCTGGCCAGCGTGCCGATACAGCAGCACCTGATCAGACTCGACAGGCTGAAGGCCGACGAGCAGGGCTACGCCCAGCGCTTCATCAGGGTCTTCCTCTCCGCCCTCAACAGTAAGATGTTTCCCATCTGCAGCAGTCAGATTAGATTACTGGTGTTCTGGAACACCTGAAGGAAGGGGTTATTATAATTTATCATTTCAGACTTTGCTTTAAACATTCACGGTAACCATCAGTTCCTTTCCCATTTCACCGCAGAGTATATCTCACCATCACTGTTTTTGTCCCGTGATTGTTTCAGAGGGAGTCACCTCGTATCCTCCTTCCTCTCTGAGGCGAGCATGTGACCAGCTGGGCGGCCAGGAGGGAGGACAGATATTCATAACGGGGTAAATCACACACTCGCATCGCCATCACGTGGGCCTCAGCTAAAACGAAAGTTTGCAGCTCCTGAAATTTCTAATTCTTGGTTGATGTTTGACTTTGGGAGAATCAAGAATTGTTGTGCATTAGGAAGCTGAAAGGCTCTCACATGGTGATAGTGTGTCCACACATGTGGTCGCTGTGTTCAGTCAGGGCGTGGCACAGCTGGAGGACGTGTTTGGAGAGGAGGTGGAGGAGGACTTCCAGGAGCAGACCGGAGGACAGATTCAGACCGGGCAGTTGGACGTCATCGACGCTCTGATCAGAGGAAATGGCCAGAAAGTCATCTCTGACACGCACGCCAAAGGTAGCCGCACACACGGCGCAGACACACTGCTGCAGGTGAAGGACCGCTCTGACAACGCCTTACATAATGGCAGGGGTACACAACCTCTGACCTCTGAGGTTCAGCAGGAAAACATTCTTTATTTGTCACATGCACGGTAATACGAGTACAACATATACACAGTAAATGAATTCTATACAATAGAGGACGTCGTGTGCAGGGTTCAGACAAACTCTTTTCATTAAAGTGTGTACAGATGTTCTCTCCTTCAGCAGCTGCACAGATGTGGTGGGCATGTCGCGTGTCATGTATGCTTTAACCTCGTGTCTTTGTTCGACTGCATGAGCAGCAGGTCTCAGCCACAGACTGTACATAAAAGACGGACGTAGCCTGCATTCTCTCAGAGGCAGTAAAAGCAACTCAAGGAGGCGGACCATCATCACGTACAGGAGCTCGGGGTAGGAGGGTGTGCTCGTTTGTCAGCCATGATGGATGACAGAGCTGATGATGGAATAAAGGTTGCTAACAACAACACTGGCTCAGGTGGATAAATTCTGGTTTCAGAATCTGAACCCCAGAGTTGCAGCCGACTGCTCCGTCGCTGTATCTTTATGTTTGAAGGTGTTTCTTGGGGCCGTGGCAGTATGGTCACAGTGGGGAAAAATTGGCATCCCTCCCTCAAAAAAGAGACTTTCTCCCAAAGCTTCCTCCTCCTGAGTCGCCCCCTGCTGGTCATCAGAAGGAATGCAGGCGTTCAGTCAGTCTGTGCTGGAGCCGCTGCCTGTTTGTAGTAAATGTGTGTGTTCTGCTTTCAGCCCGGTGTCAGCTGCCCGCTGATATCGGCAACCAGTGTAAGAAATACGCCACAGCCTGGTTCTTTGACACAAACGTCGGTGCATGCTCTCGGTTCTGGTATGGCGGCTGCGGCGGCAACGCCAACCGCTTTAGAACGGAATATGAATGTTTCCAGACATGTGGGAACCAGCGTAAGTCCAGACTGCACACAAGCTGACCGCTCCACGTCTGTGGACCCACTAACCTCTGCTATCAGCGGACAGCTAACAGGATGCTCTGCGTGTTGCTTCCTACTAAAGTCCTCTGTGGTCGCGCTGATAACACGCCCTCTGCTACTGCTGTCCACGCTCAGACTCCGTCTGCACACGGACATGCATTCACATGTATGTACGTGGGGGACAAAGGTCACAGTAAAAGCAACGCTCTTCTTCTCACGTGCCAGTACTTCCTGCTCAGTGACAGAACACGCCGACCTGTGAGAAGCCCTCATCACTGCTCACCTGCACAGCTATCGCCTCTCTGACTTTACTCTGTCCTCGCTCGCAGATCCCAATGTGGTGGAGAAGACTCTGCCTGCCAGCTTCGCCTCTCAAGGTAAGACCCGCCTGTGCGATGGACAGCGGTGACAGCTGAACAGTGTGAGCGCACACACGATGTTTGTGCCAATAAATACAAGTTAAAAAAGGCAGCGAGAGAGAAGGAAAGAGGAGGAGCTATTTCCCGGTTGTTCTAACAAGGACGAGCGTGCATGTTGAGATGTTTCGGGTCACGTCTCGCTCTGCAGTGCTCTAATATCCGTCTCCTGTTGTCCTCCAGATTCCTGTATCCTCCCTCAGGACCGGGGCAGCTGCGACAACTACACGATGATGTGGTTCTTTGACGCCGCACAGAAGGAGTGCGCTCGCTTCTGGTACGGCGGCTGCGGCGGCAACAAGAACCGCTTCCTGACGCAGGAGGAGTGTCAGAGCCTGTGTGGGACGAAGATCAGATGAGGAGGACGAGAGCGTCACGGCTCAACACGCATAAGGAAACCTGCCGAGGCCACTCAATGAATTAGTCACAGCATTTACCCGCCCTCCCCCGCCGCCATCAGGGAAACTGCTCGAACGCTTTCAGTCATCTGTCGCCTGCTTTTTGTTTGTTTACACGCATGTTCGATTTAAAGAGGCCCAGAAAGGTCACAGGAACGATCGCCTAAGTCTCAGTCCCAGCAGGTGTGACCTGTAACAGCTGACACGGTCGCTGCTCATCGCACTGGTTTGTCCTCGTCCACATTAGGAAACATAAAAAAGTGAGACATACAAATTCGGGACTTGCTGTTTGTACAGTTAGCCTCAGTCAAAGAGGCCACGCCCCCTGTAACACAAACTTTAAAACAGGCTGGAAAGGTTTAACGTGCGATTCTATGGCGACTCACTCACTGCTGCCTCTGCTGGGCACAGGAGAGATTGCAGGTTGGTGCTCAGTTCTCAGAGATGCACGGTGCTGTATCATAATCCAGCTCACAGGAAACGTGAACGTTACTGTGACCTTTCAGGGCCTCCGTAGTTTTCCCTCCAGAGCACATCCCGTTATCCTCACTGCTCGACTCCCCTCACAGACCCCGCCCACGCTCCTTTCTCTCCAGTCAGGTGCTACTTTTTATAAATCAGGTGGAGGCTGATGTGAGAACAAGGTTAAGACTTGAGAGAAGTTAATGTGTTGATGTGTAATTTTCCATGAACCTGAAGCAGCCTTAAAAACACAGGTAGAAGTGAAGCGTGTACAGTATCGCTCCCACAGACGGGACTGTGTGGACTCCATGTAACTGCAGCTTTCACACGTCAACGATGGTTTAAGAAAATAAAATGATCTCAAGTGTCCGTCTGACTTCCTCTTTGTGACCAATCAGGAAACAGCCACGGTCTCTGATCACGTGGTCTGTGTCTGTGTCTGTGTGTGTGTGTGTCTGTGCGTGTGTGTGTGTGTGCGTCTGTGTGTGTGTGTCTGTCTGCGTGCGTCTGTGTGCGTGTCTGTGTGTGTGTGCGTCTGTGTGCGTGTCTGTGTGTGTGCGTCTGTGTGTGCGTGTCTGTGTGCGTGCGTCTGTGTGCGTGTCTGTGTGTGTGCGTGTCTGTGTGTGCGTGCGTCTGTGTGTGCGTGTCTGTGTGCGTGCGTCTGTGTGTGCGTGTCTGTGTGCGTGCGTCTGTGTGCGTGTCTGTGTGTGTGTGCGTCTGTGTGTGCGTCTGTGTGTGTGTGCGTCTGTGTGTGCGTGTCTGTCTGCGTGCGTCTGTGTGCGTGTCTGTGTGTGTGTCTGTGTCTGTGTGCGTGCGTCTGTGTGTGCGTCTGTGTGTGCGTGTCTGTCTGCGTGCGTCTGTGTGCGTGTCTGTGTGTGTGTGCGTCTGTGTGCGTGTCTGTGTGTGTGCGTGTCTGTGTGTGCGTGTCTGTGTGTGCGTGTCTGTGTGTGCGTGTCTGTGTGCGTGCGTCTGTGTGTGCGCGTCTGTGTGTGCGTGTGTCTGTGTGTGCGTGTCTGTGTGTGCGTGTCTGTGTGCGTGTCTGTGTGTGCGTGTCTGTGTGCGTGCGTCTGTGTGTGCGTGTCTGTGTGCGTGTCTGTGTGCGTGCGTCTGTGTGCGTGTCTGTGTGTGCGTGTCTGTGTGCGTGCGTCTGTGTGCGTGCGTCTGTGTGCGTGCGTCTGTGTGCGCGTGTCTGTGTGCGTGCGTCTGTGTGTGCGTGTCTGTGTGCGTGTCTGTGTGCGTGCGTCTGTGTGCGTGTTGTGTGTGCGCGTCTGTGTGCGTGCGTCTGTGTGCGTGTCTGTGTGCGTGCGTCTGTGTGCGTGCGTCTGTGTGTGCGTGTCTGTGTGCGTGCGTCTGTGTGCGTGTCTGTGTGTGCGTGTCTGTGTGTGCGTGTCTGTGTGCGTGTCTGTGTGTGTGCGCGTCTGTGTGTGTGCGCGTCTGTGTGTGTGCGCGTCTGTGTGTGCGTGTCTGTGTGTGCGTGTCTGTGTGCGTGCGTCTGTGTGTGCGTGTCTGTGTGCGTGCGTCTGTGTGTGCGTGTCTGTGTGCGTGCGTCTGTGTGCGTGTCTGTGTGTGTGTGCGTCTGTGTGTGCGTCTGTGTGTGTGTGCGTCTGTGTGTGCGTGTCTGTCTGTGTGCGTGTCTGTGTGCGTGCGTCTGTGTGCGTGCGTCTGTGTGTGTGTGTGTGTGACTGTGTGTCTGTGTGTGTGTCTCTGTGTGTGTGTCTGTGTGTGTGTCTGTGTGTGTGTGTCTGTGTGTGTCTGTGTGTGTGTCTGTGTGTGTCTGTGTGTGTGTCTGTGTGTGTTTCTCTGTCTGTGTGTGTCTGTGTGTCTCTGTGTGTCTGTGTGTGTGTGTGTGTCTGTGTGTGTGTGTGTCTGTGTGTGTCTGTGTGTGTGTGTCTGTGTGTGTGTGTGTGTGTGTGTGTCTGTGTGTGTGTGTGTCTGTGTGTGTGTCTGTGTGTGTGTGTGTGTCTGTGTGTGTGTGTGTGTCTGTGTGTGTGTGTGTGCGCGAGAGAGAAACTTTATTTAAAACTGTAAAAAAAATGAAGAAAGACGTCTAAATGCACCTATGCAGGACATACACACAGATTCTCGTCTTCATATCTTAGTCGGGACATGTAATTGACATAATGCTTCTAACCCTGAGCCTAACTATAAGCCTGACACTAAAACCACACTGTGAGTCTAAATAACACCTTCGATGTGGCACTTTGGTCCCCACAAAGACGTCTGGACAGGTGCACGTGCACACAGAGTTCTCTCACTCAGTTTGCTTCAGACCGTAAAGCATCGTTTCATACATGGTTTTATTTTCACACACACAGATTCTGCTGGTTTGTGGAGCTCTGACAGTGTTTGATGCTTCTGAGCAGCGTTCAGGTGAATCATCACAACGAGACAGGAAGTTTACCTCAGGTGACTAATCTGTGCTCCTGATGTACGCAGTCCTTTTGTTAATAAAGCACTTTCAAATGAAGCCAGAAGAACATCACACGGGCTCAACAGCAGTTCCCAAGTTGTGGATGGGGACCCCTGGTGGGCTCTGCAGGAACAACGTGGAGCTCAGCTGGAGGCGTCGCTGACGCTCCGATTTAAAGAAGCTGAATTACACCTGCACATGGAAAACTGAACTAAAGATGAATCAAAACAAGACTACATGTCCCATAATGCAACTCAACAGATTTACTTCCCTAAATCATCAGCGCAGCTATCAATCGTGGTTCTAAAAATCAGGTTTCCTTCGTATCCAGGCAACAAGACTTCAGAGTGAAAAATGGCGTGTTCATCCGGCAGGAGCGAGATCAGCTGCACACCTGCACTTCCTGTCACCTGACACTGACGGACATGAAAAGCACAAACTAGTCGTCAGGGGTCAGAGTCTACAGCAGAGCATTTCACTTCCTGTTTGAACCACGTCTCGTGATGATGATGTAACCGTGTTCATGGGGAACAGGAGCGTGTGTCCATAAACACACGCCTCCCTGCGTGCGTGTGCTGTGATGTCATCGGGGGCCCTCATTTCCAGACTTTGACGATGCCGTCTCTGGACGAGGTGACAATGAAGCCCTGCGTGGTCTGGAAGGTGGCGATGTCCGTGATGATGTCGTGGTGACCTAAGGGGAGGGACTCCGGGCCGCGGCGGGGCGAGTCCTCCACCACGCCGCTTTTCTGTTTGCTGTGGATCTCCTGCAGAGACGGCAGTGTTCAAAGGTGAAAGCAGGAAGAGTGTGTGCGTGTGTGCATGTGCGTGCGTGCATGTGCATACCTGTACGACCTCGGTCCCTTCGATGATCTTGCGGCTGTAGAGGACAGACGGGCAGTGCAGCGAGTCGTTGGCTCCGCCCGCCACAATGTACGACCTTTCCGGATACGCCAGGTCCCAGAACCTGAATGGAGGTCAGCAGAGGTCAACGGTCGCTCAGAGAAACTGTTAAACGAACAGAGCCGCGAGCTCGTCCTGCTGCCATGTTTGATGTTCTGTGGGCCACAGAGCGGCGCTTACACCTGAGCGTCAGCTGACCCGATGACCCAGCGGTGTCAGCTGCACAGCTACGACATCATCTCTCCATGACTACGACTTCCTGCCAGGACAGAGCTTTGTAACTGTGGAGGGTGAAATACAACCCAGCCAGAACCAGAACTTCCTGTTGAGCTTCACTGAGTGAGTCTGGCTAATCTTAGCTAATGTTAGCTTTCCTGCTAACACAGGTGAACGATGTGCTACCAGCTACAGCGAGCTAACCTCAGCCAACCAGTCTGTGTGAGCTGGGCACCGCTCGCTCGGCGACGTCAGCGATCCGTGGACTCCACCTGTGAGCTAACGATGCAGAGAACTGTGAGGTGGAGTGTTTGTGTGGATGTTTCTCTGTGGGTCACACCTGATCCTCATGTCAGAGCCGGCTGTGAGCAGCAGAGGGTTCCCGTCAGCAGGACTGCAGTAGATCCCGTTAATGCTGTGTGGGGACGGCTGCAGACACACAAACACACACCTCAGTGACTTACACACACGCACACGCACACGCACACGCACGCACACGCACACACACACACTCACCTGCATCTCAGAGAGTGGGGGTGCCGAGCTCGCCCACAGGGTGAATTTGCGGTCTCCGGTCTCCATGTCCCACATGGACACCTCATTGTTCCCCTGCACAGCTGCAGACACACACACACTTATGACTCTGTGGAGACTTTAACAGAAACGAACTCTGAGGCGACTCAGCTGACCTGCGATGACAGACGACTGGTAGAGCGGGTGCATCAGCAGCCGTCTGATTCGTGCTCGGGCAGGGTGGGAGTGGTTTGAGATGGGCAGCTGGAACCGCATATCCCAGCAGGCCATGGTGCCGCTGCTCGTACCTGCAGGAAACACAGAGACGTGAATGTTTCGTGCGACACCTGGACGCACGTCTTTGTTAAAACCGTTTTGCCGCCAACACAAACAGATTTCATGTGAGGACACACGGACCGAGGCAGAGCCAGCACTGGTGCATGTCCACGGCAAAGGACGTGATGAGTCCGAGGCGGAGGTCGTGGCGCAGCGTCCAGGCGTTGGAGTTGGAGCGGAGGTCCCAGCCGACCAGCGAGCCATTGACGGTGGCGTACGCCAGCACCGACTGGGCACCGGAGTTGAAGTGGTGGATGTCGACCGTGCAGCCGTCCTCCTGCAGGTCCAGAGACCTGAAAGAGCACAGACCGACTTCCTGTCAGATATCCTGGTGCTCATCTCAAATACGGCTATCTTGAACTGTGTCGTCGGGTTTCTGTTACCTGCTCTGGAACGGCTGCACTTTGGGGGATTTTGGCGGTTTGTTGGCTTCGACGGCGAGCAGCTGGATGGATCCATTATCCGAGGCCACGGCTAAATAGTGCGAGCCCTGACAGAAGGTCAGCGTCTTCACGTGGCCGCCGATGCGAGAGTACGTCAACACAGACCTGCGGAGACACGGTGAGGGTGAGTGACTCCGCGGCGCCGCTTCTGCATGCGGGGCAGGCACACCTGAGGGCCTCACCTGGTGGTCGTGGTCTTTCCCTCCATCTTCTGGCTGTCCCACACTTTGACAGTACCGTCGTTGGAAGCCGTGGCGAAGATGGAGTGCTCGTCGGAGACTCGGATGCGGTTCACGGCAGCTTTGTGTTCGTGCAGGTGGGCGACCAGCAGGCCTTTCGGGTGCCACCCTGAAACAGTCACAGCTGTGTGAGGTGTGAGCTCGCCCGCACCCCGCCCGAGGTCCGCTGCGAGTGCGGTGGCGCTTACCTGGAGGAGGAGGTCGGCTCTCCCACTCAGCGCTCTCCATCATCTGCTTGGCCATGCGCTCGGCACTGCACTGCTCCCTCTTCTGCTGCACCAGCTGCTGAAGCTCGGCCTTGCACGTGTT